AAAAGCTTAATTCATAAGGAATAAAATGCGCTATTTCATCACAGGGAGCGATTTCTCATAAAATACGCTTTTGTACAAACGCCATAATAAAAATGATTCAAACAAAACCCAAAATCTTGTAAACAGCTGGGGCTATTCATTCCCAAAATAATTCCAGAAGAAAGAGTTCATTAAGGGCAATGACTACACATATAGATGCGTCGCAGGGAAGAGACCCTGTGTACACACGGAGAATAGCGCAGAATAGGAAGCAGCAGGAAGGATAGCGGTGCCTTCTTTAGCAGTTAATTCAATAAACACAGCAAATAAAGAAATGAAACTTACACGACGCGATCTCTCTGGATAACTTGAAAAAAGCTTTTAGCGACAACAAATTAAAATGAACAACGGCAATTATGAATTTTTCTCGATCGAAAGAGGGCGCTATTTGCTTATCCGCACGCGAGTCTTGAAAATTAGGCGCTTACATTACTACTGCTGGCTTTTCAAAAAAGAGAGTAATTTCTGTAGCAAAAGGAAGAATGTTTANCAAATGTGGGAGCTGCGAGAAGCAGCGATGACCACAGGGGGCGTCCAAGACCGCTGAATTTGTTTGCGAGCGAGTGTAACAATCTGTTAGGGGATACCGACACCATTCGCACCATGCAATCTGGCAATGAAGCCAGCTGAACTTCAGTTATTGTGAGTATTACATGTACAACCCGCCAAGGGCACACAGCGTAATGTAAGCAACTGCGCAAGCATTAAATTTGATGTTGTCATGAGATCATACCAAGGGCCAACAAAGGCATGAATATTCTATTTCCTATACCTCAGTACACGAAGTTTTAAGGATGCAGATTACCATCGACAAACTGCGGCGGCGATCATAGGGTACAAAGGGGTTTCGTGGTCGTGAAACAGATGGTGCGTAGCAAGCGTTCCCTGCGCTCTTGCTATGGACATACCGGGCATGCCAGAAAGTGGTAATTGGCCAGATGTTACAGCCCGGGCTGTTCAAACTCCTTCTGTGTCCTTCCTCTATGCATAGACGGACGGCGGGCTACCGTGGCCGAGACGGCACCAGACTAAAGCTTGGGTAAATTCACCGCTCGGTATAGGAAATTTATGCCATAAAAATTCTATTAACCCATTTTTCGACAGCTGTGAAAAAAATCCTCTGTTTACTTAAACTGGCCATGAAGATTCGAAACAGTACGGTTGCAACATTTGGAAAGCACGGTAGCAGTACAAAAGAAAAAAAGAGCGTCTTTTTTATGAGCTCTTATAAAAAAATACGTGCAATCTTAGTGCGTCAAGCGCAGTTCGCACTGAGCGCACTGCCAATCATGGTGTCGTCCAGGCTTTTTAAAAAAATACGCGTAAGCCTGGTCGTCTATGTGTTGATATGTCCACAACACAGCCGCACAAAGAATGTCTTGGACCAAGACTAAGTTTGCATATAAGTGATGTAACACTGTCAGAGAGATGCTGAGCACAGCTCACCAGCAGGGTCAGATGGGACTTGAACGCAAGACGTTAGCATCTGCATACGGCGCATGCGTGCACCATTCGATACCTGTCGAATTAAATTAGATAGTGTGCAGGGTATATAGTAACAACCGTCAAAATGTTGTTATTTTCACAATAGCCCACCCAAACGTGAAGGCGGTGTTGTGTCATGGTGGCTCCGGTATGCTTCACGAGGCGATTTGGTTTGGTCTACCTGTTGTTGGTATCCCACTGTTTGGCGACCAGTTCGACAACATTGGCCGTGCGATGTGTAAGGGCATAGCTGTTTCGTTGGATTTGTTCGACATGACAGAAGAAAGTCTCCATCATGCAGTCAACCGCGTCATAGACGATCCAAGGTGTTTTTCCTTTCATGTTTTGCTTTCTGCATCAATTGATTGGAACCTGCATCAAAAGTCGTGTTCAGAAATCGGCAGTTTTGAACCTCAGACTGTTTTCACTTGTCACATTTCTTGGATATTTCTGTGATTATTTCCTACAGCATTTCCTATTTTCTCTTTTCCAACAGCATATTTTCTGTGTTTTTTAAACTTAAATTGTCCTCAACTCCCATTACAATTTAGCAACATGTCTCAGAAAGCTGGACAAATTGCCTCTTGGAAACTCGCTGAATTAGGCCATTGTCTCGTTCGTCTTCGTCAGTATCTAGAGCTGGGGATTGCAAAGATAAGAAATTTCACCTTTTGTCAGAAATGGGAGGTAATTTAGATATCTCCTGGTAACTTCTCATCAAACATATTCTCAAGCCCCTGGGCCATCTGGAATCTTTAGAATCGACCGAAATCATTACTTTTCTCCTCGGTTTCTCCCCTTCAGCTTTCGAAGAAAGGTGGCGAAGCTTTCGGGAATTCTCCACGACGAACCTCTGATCCCCACCGATAAGGCTGCCCACTGGATCAGCCATGTGACCAGGTTTGGTGGGGGACACCTGCAACCTCGAGGCGCCCGCCTTGGCTTTGTCGAGAGAAACCTGCTAGATGTGGGGGTAGTTCTAGCGGCCGCTGGTTGCTTTGCGTTGTGGCTGGGTGCATGGATATGCCGAAAATCCGGCAGTATGGCTGTTTGCTTTTGTTCAAAACTGTTCAAAAGGCTGAAAAGTTGGGAAAGGGTTTAAACTCGTCTTAATGAAGAACAATAAACCGTTCACGCAAGTAGCCATATTTCACGTTCTATTGAGGCCTATATGATTAAATAGTTAAGAATTTGTTTTTAAATTATCTTTAAAAAGTGTTGACATGCAGGGTATAAACTGTCATGTAGTCATACGAATATGTTATCTGTTTTGTTTTTAATTACCATTGAATTTTTTCAANAGCACCTTCACTCCGCGAAGCTGCCTGTGTCCATCTGGCTTCACACATTCAGATACAATTTATCACAAATTTTAATTATTCTAAATATAAACTGACACAAATGGATCATTCCAACACACCTTTTGACTTTAGGTCTTTAGAATCTGATAAAAAATGCTGTGCTTGTAGACATTATTGAATAATAAATACTTGCCAATTTTTAGCAGAATCCGCCCGTCCATGTGCTCAGGGCAGAGATGGACAAAAAAGGACCTGTTTCACCTAAAAATCGAAACTTTTAGTAAAAAAGAAACATAAGCCTCTCATTTTTTTATCGAATATATGCATATGTGGTGCCAAAATAATCAGAAGAACATGCTCTTTTCACTGATGTTATGGGAATTGAACTTTGTGAATAAAGAGTCAAGATGAGCTTTGACGTGTCTTTGACATTTGACCCCATTTTTAAAATAGAATGTCATTTCGAAATTGTTTTTAACCAAGCGTGTTTGAAAGTATGGCTCCTGCTCTAGAAGAATCCTCTGGGGTGTTAAAAATAAAAAAACGTGACAATTTTTCTATAGTTGGTCAGCTTAGAATATGTCAATTTTTATCTTTAAACAGGAATTTGTATCGAAGCAGTTTGTGCTCTAAAATTAACCCCAAGGTGTATGTAAAAATTATTATAAAATCGGAGAATTTCTGACTGCTAGGGTTAATGAATTTTTCATCATGAGGCGAATTTCTCTTTTAAAATCTGGCCCCCTCTGCAACCAGGATTTTTTGTTTATCTGAAGTTTATGTACAACCATATTGGAATTGGAAGATTTTGGACTGTTAGGGTTAATAAATTTTTAATTAAACGGTGTTCAGAGCCAGAGCAATATATCTCACACAAATTATTTCATCTGAGCAGCCCATTTTAGGAACATAGGGTAATTGAATCTGAATATTATTATGAGGACTAACGAGCTGTCTAGACAAAACATAAAACTTGAGGGCGCTAAACAACATGTACTCACGTACTTGTCCTTTTACCGTGCAAGGCCACAGTTGAGTACATGCAAGTCAACAGAGTAGTAGGAAATGAAGAATTGTGGACCACTTTTTCCTCGGGTACCTACTTAACCCTAAAATAATGAAAAGTCTCACACAAAACATCGCTGCGCAAGGACCAAAAGGCAATCCATGCGCCCTCAGGCTCCAAGGGCAAAAAAAGAATAGATCTAACATTGAACCCAAAATCGAGATGTCAGACCAAAAGAAAAAACAATAAGCAACATCGATTGTGAAAACTGCTTTAGACGTAGCGAATGCTACGTTTGCGTAGACTGTCAAAAGACCCCACCAGACTATTATTCTATTCTATTATATTTTCCAATCGATACTCCAAAATCTCGGTCGCTAACTCCCATATCCCTTCCGATAGGTTCCCTTGGCTTGCTCAGCCTCTCCAGACCCTCTGCCTCATTCCTTTCAACTCCAAAATCTCACTCCAAGCTCCAAAGTATCTATTTGGCAGACATCTCAGTTTGGGAGAAATCGACCACCCCTGTTCAAACTTTTAAACAGGGGTTGAAACTTTTGGCAAACCAAAATGTAACAAAAACTAGACAATTTGTTGGGCGAAAATCCCTCCGGTCGGGCAAATCAAACCCTCTCGGTTCGGACATATCAAAATCTCTTGGGTCGGACGAACATCTCTCGGGTCTGACAAATCAAAACCTCTTGGGTCAGGCAAAAATCTCTCTGGTCGGACAAATCAAAACCTCTGGGTTCGGACAAAACAACTACCCACAATTAATCGGCTCAACATCAAAAACCGCATCTCAGTTGGCAAGATCTCTAAACCCTGAAAGCTCGACCGATCAGAACATTGGTCGAAACTAGCCCAAACGATCGATCGACAATGTGTAGTTGTCGGTCACGCAAAAGTCTTTCACAAAAGTGGAAAACATACACCGCCGATTTTTTTCCTACGACGATTCTTTGCAATGCCAACGCACCGACGGCCGTTCGCGAATACAGACCCGACATTGAACCCTTTTGGCCATCGACCACGCACATTAGACAGTCTTGTTTGGAGAGAAAAAGCCGACCACAAAAAGCAAGGCACCTACACTACCCAAAACGACAACTTTGTTTTTGAAATCGAACGAGCTGAAGAAACAGAAATATATACATTCTCTAAACGGCACCTACAACAATTTTCAGAAGTTCTATATATGAAACCAAACGAGAAATTGCATGGTCGACGAACAGAGAAAATCTTGCCCGACAAGAACAGGCTAGATGTAGACTTTTAGAAACGATCGAAAAACAAGTCTATCTCGAGAAAAAATAACTACAATTTCTGTAAGGACTTCACATTCTACAACATTGCAACGTGCCGCCAATTTCAACGACAGACTACTATACGAAATATGAAAACGAAGCACAAAAAGGCATGTTTTATATGTTGCTAGGATTTGTGAAAAAAGGATCAAAGCTCAAAAAAATTCCCGGCGATCTATATGTTGTCGTTAAAAGATCACTAAAATCTTCCAAAACGAAGCAAAACGAAAAACTTAACAACAAAAATCTACTCTACAAGACCATCTCAAAAACGAAAACAATCTAAAAAACAAACTTGTTTTGAAAACGATCTTTTTTGCTATGGCAGTAAACAACCTATCTGAAAACACACCCATATAAAATCCAACGATGCTTTTTGCCAACAGTCAATGGATCGACATCTACGACCATCTAATATCAGTTTCTAAACTCAAACATGTTTTAAAAATAGACAAACCGAAAAAATCACCCACAAAATTGTTTGTTCCAAAGTCAACACCGATCTCATACTATGTTGCATCGAACAAGTTTGCGTGCGATTGATCCTTGGACGTCGTTTGTTTCTGGTCTAAGAGAAATTCGATACAACCCGATCGTGTTGCATTCGGTCGACAGACCACCTATACAATACGACGCGACACCGTGTCTAACGATGCAACACGTCGATTGGACCAGAGACAAAAAACAAAACAAAACGGCAACACGTTTCGGAAGGTGTGTATACGTAGGAACAGTATTTGATGATTTTCTCGAGGAACAAGATATCGAACTCCTGGCACTGGATAGTAGGCGTAGGGTACAACGGCTGATACTGGAATTGGACAATTTTTGCTCGCGTTTTTGGCACGATCGATTTCTTGTTTTGTGGGCAGCTTCTGGAAATTTCTCTAAGCTTCAACCAGATCGCCGTAGTGTTTGTTGGCAAGTATCGTTTTCGCTAATTTACCGTCGCTCGTTGCGTAAGACACGTGGACAGTTTTCGTGAGACAGTGTACATCAAATACTACAAAAGGCGAGCGACATAGTTTGTACGATCATTTTGTGTGTCGATGTTCTTCGCTTTGCAAGAGGTGGAGTTGGCCTTTAACTTCCAAAATTGATTCTCGAGATACAAAGCCAAAGAGGTAAATTTCGTCTACAAATTCTTCTTGGATCGGTTCTAAATTTTTAGGCGTGTCGCGGCAGTCGGCAACGTAGTCCAATGTTGAGACGTCAACGAGCACGTGGCTTTGGTACGTGTTTGACAACAGTAGAGAAGGCGTGATGCGTTTTATTTAGATCGTATAGACCTAATTTGTCGAGACAAATTTGATGGGCTGATTTTTGGAGGAGGCGGCAGACTCTCGACACTTGTTTTCTAAATCGAATTGCGTTTTTTTTATAGTATATGTATTTGGTTATAAAATTAGAAAGTATTTCCATTTTATTTGGTTAGATTGTCTTCCTATAAATGGTGAAACAAGTCTTTCTATCTATTTTGCCACAATCAACCCTCTATTCCAAGTTAGGTTCTAACAATCAAAAGAGAACCGAGGGAATCCGTAGGGTATGTAAAACAGTAGCGAGATCGTCGAGCCTTCAGGGTTTAGCGATCTTGCCAACCTAAATGCGGTTTTTGATGTTGAGCCGATCGATTGTGGGTAGTTGTTTTGTCCGACCCGAGAGGTTTTGATTTGTCCGACCCGAGTTATTTTTCTCCGATTCGAAAGACTTTTGTCCTCCCTGAGAGATTTTGATTTGCCCGACCCCAGAAGTTTTGATTGGTCTGACCAGAGAGATTTTTGTCTAAGTTACATTTTGGTTTACCAAAAATTTCAACCCCTGTTCAAAAATTTGAATACCTTAGGCTATTCAATACAATTGCCTCCAACTTCAGTCCATTCACTAAGTGCATTTATGCACGGCATTAAACCAATGAATTGGAAAATGCTATTGAATTGAATAGCCGAATATGGCCGCGCAGTCGCTTCAATTAGCAGATCTGCGCAGAGCTGCCTATCCAGTGTATAGTTGGTGAGACTGTGACTGTCAGAACAAAAAAGGTAAGGCCGCAAGATGGCGCTATTTAGGCTTGTTTAGGTATGGCCGCGTACAGCTCACAAGTTCTGCGAAAATACAATACTTGATGTCGTTGAAACACGGACCATTTACCCAGGGATGTGCAACTTAAGCTCTGAGCTGGTTCAGTGCGTGTTACGGCTGGCACAATATCAAAGCAGAAATTAAGTTGGATTATGTAACACTTTCTCTAATAATAAAACATATATGCCTGTCTACCACTTTGTTTTCTTGTAATAAGTCAGGGTACACCCTTTCTAAAAATATCCTGCTCAAGATATTTTATCCTATACATTCTGAGAAAAGTGTACCACAAATTGGGGAATGTTGCCTCATTAAAACTTTGTTTCTCCTTGAAATCGATAAATGAAGAAGATGTATTCGTCAAAACGAATAGATTTAAGCACCGTGTCGGCGCGTCATTCGGCATAACCACAGCTGCACTGTACGCGCTGCATGCATGTCATTTTGTTGGCCAGTCTTAACCAAATTTGTGCCAAGGCTTTGAACATTGATGTATTGGAGGGAGGAGAATAAAATTACAAACTTTGCATGGATAATGGGACAGTGTATCAACATTGGAAAGTTTATTGACAATGGCAAAAGTAGGTCTAATATCAGGGATTCTTCT